CCCAACTACTAATCCAGCCCTCATTGGCTTATCTATGGGAGGGCGGACGGGATCCCGAGTTTTCCAATGGGTATGGTCGTATGTGACCGTTTGAAAATGCTAGCTCAAACATGAATCACGGGAGCAAAGTTAGAAGTTCATCATCTCAGCCTTCGCAGGCCACATGGCATCGGATAGGCCACGGCCACTGCCCGAACGCGCGAGTCGGCTCTTCTATTTTGGAACTTAGAGGCGTTGCTGTGGACGGTTTCATTGATTACCTGATACCTCCTTGGTCATGAGATAATACTATCAGCAAGCCCGCCGTAACCCGGCGTTAGCTAATCGATAGCACTCTACCTCTGCAGTCGCGACTGTGTGAAGAGAAACCTTACATTAGACACTAAACAACATCTCATTGGCCACATGTCGTGCTATTACAAGGTAGGCATCGAGATATGTAATCATTGAATTAAAGATCTGCTGCCCAGCAGGAGTAAAGATAGGAACGAGACTCGCCCCAAGGGCGGGTGCGAGCGAATATGATTCTTAGCGCAACCACTGTATAATGATACGACCGAAGTCACATGGCGACAGTAAAGTTAGGGATGGTTGAAGCCATTCCGCCATTATAAGAAGTGATGTTACCCATCGATAGAATGCTACTCGAGTAGTTGAAAAGAGGATATTTCCGCTCTTATTGACGATAATCTCCAACGGCCGATAACCAAAGATGCGTAAACTAGGTCCAATGCTAGCTATACTAGTCGTTCCAGCGAATAGAAGGCTGACTTCGGTCCAGGGTCTTTGCTCAGTTCATGCAGTGCTCATCCTAGATAGTTTACGATCTTTGGTTGTATGAAACTGCTGATGAGGCAGTTCAAGTTCATGATGAGCATTTGGACTAGAACGTGCGGATGTTAGACTGTACGCGATAACTAGTGACCTGACCCATGGTTCAGTCGGTGACGAAGATAGGGTTTGAGCATGACGTAAAACCATCCGCCAGGCTGCGAAACGAGTGGCGGGTGCTCGCTAGTATCTCAACGTTTGTTCTAAAGCTGAGATTCACGTGAAGGAGATCACCGGCACCAATGATGGGTACAGAATCAGAGATGTTCATCGTGAAACTCTTAGTATATACCCCTTTCAATCGACTCGAGGCAGTGACAGAGGTTATGTTGAAATAATCCTGAGAAGAAAAGAAGGATATAGATGGCGGGATGGCCCCACGTCAAGTCCCTACCGAGTTCTCTTTCACCTACATACACCCAACGAAGGAATCGTGGGCTCTGCTCAGCAAGCTTCTCCTTCCAAATTCCCATCACATAGTCAATACACGATTATTGGACTTCCCACTGGCCGCAAAGCTGCCCTGCTAATGCGTATACCAACAGACCGATAGTGTCAGAGCCTCGAAGGCTGATCGAGGTCTCGGTTTTGTCGGAGCCCCGGAGCCGCTATTTTGTTACAACTCACTACCGAGTCGGGGCATGTAGGACCACAACCGTAAGGGCATCCTCCTGGTCCTCATTTCCCTTCTCGGCCTGACTATTGTCAGATGACGACACTCCTACATTGACAAGGCCTAGGACCAGCTTCTTAGGCTTAGAGGAAGAAATAACGCTGGCTTTTGCTCTTAGTACATGGCCTCCTGCTTGGGGATCTCACAGAACTGATTTTGTAGGTCGTTTTTGGTAACTGAGAAAGGGCTGGCTGTGATCAAGAAACGTATGCTTGCCTCCGTTTGGATGGAATCTCATCACCAGTCTATGTTGGCAGGCGTCTCGAAGGAAGTCTATCGGTTTTTGTGGTTTCTTAGCTTTCTACTACAACTTTAGATTTCCACTGGTCTAGGGATGAATGAATTGAAATCCGCTGCTGACGCCTTAAGCTTCTGCACGGCCGAATCCACCTTTTGAATAATGCTAAGTTGGCCGAGGGTCTTTAACTGATCTAGATAATTTGCTTGGAAGAAGACGAGTCTCGCATCCTGTGATTCCTTGTCTCTCATCTCTACCCAGAAGGCGCAAGAGTAAAAATGGGAGACAGTGATTGCAGGTCAACGACAAGTTCTTGTATATGAGTACTGCTGAAACGTTTGGTTTACACAGCCCACGCTGGGGTGTTTGTAAGAGAGATAGTCGTTGGCGACCTCGAGAAGATCGCTTGGTGCTGGTTTGCAGCTCTGCAGGGCAGGATTTGTTCGGACGCCCTACTTTGAAATAAGAAATCTTTGGCCGTATGACATATAAAGTAGATGACGTCACTTCAAAGAGTCAGAGAATAACCACAGGGGTTGACTATTCTTTTCATTCCATGCTGATCGAGGTCACTGACTGACTCAACAAGCGTCTTCGTTACGCCCGAGGTGATTGGCCAGCATACAACAGAGTCTCCAAGGAAACAAAGGCAAATGTCAAAGTAAGCGACAGCAGCCGTCACTGAAACAACGACGGCAAGAAAGACCATAGCAGCATCAACAAAAATACACGAATGAGTAGAACCGCGAAAGTCATTAGATCAACCAGGTGCAACAGCTACAGAAGCAGCGATCACTTTGCCACATTGCAGAACAAGGCGGGAGGCTCGGAGCGGGCAGCCCCATACAAGATCCCGATTCCATCCACCTTGTGCACCCCATCAAATGAGAGGATTGAACACGCCCCAAAGTTTTACCATTTCTTGACTATGGCATTGGCCACATCTTGGAAATGGGTCATCCATATCGCCTAGATTCCGATGCCAGAAACCCCGCACCGCATCTCCCAGCCACCAGCCAAGGCTGCCACATCATTCTGAGGAGAAGCCTTACACTGCAAGCTGAAGCGTTGACGGTGGGTTTGTCGTTGATGAAGATAATTATCATGAGATCACGGAGGTAATGAACATTGACAAGCGCCGCATGGAGAATGGATTCTGGCGATCCCTGGGCACTGAACCCATATTCGATAACAACAGACAGTCCTAGATAAGACTGGGAGCCTTGACTAGAGTGGAAAAGTGTCTCAGGGCTTGCTACGATGCCATACCTAGAGAGAATGGGCATCCCGGGCGCCATTTTGTATGCCCGACTCTTGGGCGCTGACGGACGTCACCACCCTAACAAGGCTACTGTTGTGCAACCTTGCACAGATCGTGCACGGCATCCACAGGCAAGGTGTGGCCGATCGGCTCGGAGTACGTCTTAACCGATGTCTTTGAAGCTCAGGGACACTGCAATACTTAGACTTGCTTCAAGAGAGGCCGGAGCATGATTCAAAGACATGACAGAAAGAACCGCAACATATCGGAGCTGGGTTGAGAAATAGAACGCAGATTCGGCTTCCGTCGAATGCACACAGCGAGCTCCCATTCTGGATAAGGCAAAGGCCCCAATGTTTCTCCACCTTCTGAAACACGTCGAGCTTTTATAATGGGTATAGCAGAACGCTTACGTCTTGGAGGCAGACGTAAATTGAATGTGATTGACGACTACCCGGAAGCAGAGGCAAGAATGGCATGGCGCAACTCACTGCTGAAGAATTCACTGAGATGTGTGCAAAACGCAAGATACGATCCCACACTATCAGCTATGCGAGAGTCAGTCAAATCAACAGGAGGGTTTTCTTTTCGTAACAAACAACAAAAAAGACTTTTTGGAGAGCTGGGATAGCTACACAGATGAAGGGGTAGGCGGCACGCCTACACCTCTCCCTTAGTCTTCCGCCCACACACCGGCGAATATCACAGTCGGCGAGATCGTTGAGGCCTTCGGAGAAAGCTGCGAATAGAATGCAATCTGTGGTCACTTTGAACAAAATTCGAGGTCTTCACAGAGAACGAAACAACGAGATCCAGTCTGAAGTAGAATGTTTATTCTGATGTTTGATTTCATATGACGGTTGGCGAGTTTCCTTTAGTTTCAGACTTGAAGACCCCTGGCGACACTTTTAGGGCTTTTAGAAGATCAGGTTTCGGTTTGGCGTCATTTGAATATTGATTGATGTTTGAACAATCACTTTCATCTGGTTTACTCGGGGGCTTCCTTCTCTTGATATAACTAGAATGGTTCAGTGCGCACACTCCCCATGGCGAATGAAGCAGCCAGATTGGGCTAGATTGCTTGGGGGTAGTGAGACGCGCGATCTACTTATTTGAACCAAGTACTCGCAGGAGGTCTTTGACCGTAAGACTTTGGAGCCTTGGGATGCGTTCATGTTCTTTCTCGAGGCTCGTTATCAGTTTTGTTAGTATACACGTCAGAATTGCAGGCTCTCGACCGGTATGAAGCTGAATATCTAGTTGTATTGAACTGCGTATGTATATGGAATGCGGAAAGTTGGTGAGTAGAGCCTTCGAATCCTCAGTTGGGTGGAAGTGGGTGGAAGGGCCGTTCGCACCCGTCAATATCCCAACAAGTTCTTTGGCAGATCTCCTTGTCACGTATCTGAGCTGAGTGTCATCGTCATATTTCTCATGATGTTATGGAGAGCATGTATGAGTCAATCGCAGCGACTCAGTCCTTTCGGTTACATCCGGCCCTGCGATTCGCTGACCGAGAATTGAGCAAAGTAATTGTACTGGAATTCGTGGTACAAGAGGCTCACAATGATGAAGTGCTTGATCTAGATCATAACACTGCCAGGCGTCGCTGGTCTCATTGCTCATCTTTCGAAAGGCGTGCCAGGTAAACCGGTGTCCTTGACCTTACCGGCACAGAGAGCAAGGTCGAATTGCCCTCATCCACGGCGGTCTTAATTATCAAACACTCACAGGATGGTTTCGATAGCTGCATCCTAGCAGGGTGACAAAGGCGCACGGGAACAACAGAACAAGCTGTGAGTTTCTTTGCAAAAGCTCCATGGCTATCCCTTACTCCTATCGTAACATCAGACACTGTGATGAAAATGAAAATTTTCTCTCTAATGATGAACGGGGCATCAAAGCCATTAGAAATGCTGTACCCATGAGGTGATGACATCGGTTCGCATCTTTCTATTTGTTCAGCCCCGACAGCCTATCCTTCCCAAGCCGCGCCAATGTGCAAGAGTGGCCCGTCGACCAGCGGATCGCGACCGACCCACTACTGCCCTGGCGCCGACATGATGGGTATGACGCTGCGAGACACCGCTGCGTTCGAGTATTGCGCTCTGCCAGCCGATACCGAATGCCGTGTTGTTCGCCCACGCGGCCTGCCTACCGACTGCCTACGGGACGACGCTTCTGATGACGATGACCCACGTACGCATCTCTACCGGCGAGAAGGCGCTGATTGGAATATTGACGGCAGGAAAGGGGATGCGGAAGGTGGTCGGGCGGCTGCAAACGGCCCTTCCACTTATATATCACTTCCTCCTTCTTCCACCTCCAAACGCAGCAATTTGGTCGCGTTCGGCGAGGAAGTCGACATCTTCTGCAATAGTCTCTTTGACAGCAACGTCAACGTCTTTGCCCGCCCCATGCCAACGGGCCCTTCCACCTACTTCCACCCAACAGAGGAATTCTGGTCCCTGCCCACCAACTTCCTTCCATACCACATTCGCAGTCGAATACGACTGCTGGACTTCATGCCGGCCGGAATGGATTGCCTTGCTGACTTGTATACCACCAGAATATCAACATCACTCACCATGACGCCTGCGCCTGCGTCCACGGTGGCCCGTAGGCTTTCAGCTCCGGCAAAATGTGGCAATTGATGGTTGATTCCGCGAAGTCTAGATAGCCCTGGAGCAGTGGGCTGAATACATGCTATGCCTTCGTGAAAGTCTCCTTTGGAGGTGGGTGATGGTATCCAGGGCAGCCTTCTTGCGCCCGCGCCACTTCGGCGACGCGCGCGAACACATTTTGGAGAACGTCGACCCGACGATCCGCCGTGACAGGCAGGCATTTTCCGTCACCCATTTAGAGAGCGGCAACTCCTCGCTCGTCTCCGCTACCATTCGCGCCCAGACGAGCAGATTGACGGGCTGTTGCCGGCCACTTCTATCGAGTAGAAGATCGACCATCTCTAAGAGCCTGCGCTCGACCATCGGCATCGTCACCGCGCTCGGAATGGCCGACAACATTGCGGTGTTAGAGTTCATAGACTGTGTCAAAGGTAAACATGAGCCGCGCCGCATCATCGTGCTGGCCAGCAGCACGGGTATTCAACCTCAGCAACTCCCAAACGCCGACAGACCCGTGAAGCCGCGTCACGCGAGGTACGGCAGTGTTGCGAGATTCATCTGGTTCTCAGGCGGAACGAAGACTAGTAGTGACCGCGGGCCAAACAGGTTTTCGACCTCCTTCCCAGTGTCGCACCCTCAATTACGAACCCCTCGACCCTCATACCGCCAATGACCCCGACTTTACGCCTGACAGCCGCGGTCGGCTATCCGGTTCCCGCCGTTTATCCGGCCGTGTCCGGCTTCATCGTTATGATCGGCCCGATCTGGATGTCGATATCCGAGGTATTTTCCTCAAGAGACGACAGGCGGACATGACCATCGGCTGTCTCGGCATCGACGCCGGCGATCTCCAGCCCCCTAAACAAGAAGATCTAGAATAGATCGGCCAGGGCAGCTACATTGCGTCAACTCAACTCCGGCCCGCAGTTCCGCTTCTCGGCTACGAGCGTTCGTGTCGTCTTTGCAAAGCCGTCTGCGGACGACCAAGACCGCAGGGTCGTCCAGTGAGAATGTGCTATCCCATCGATTGCGACTTGACGTCAGTACAGACACCTCCAGTTTTCTCCAACGTGGGCACTTTTTGGTTGGGTGCATCGGTTGGAACTAAGACGAGTGCTAAACGGATAATTATTGAATAATACGTGATTCTCTGCTCCCTCATAGAAGGTACGTACTAATCTACTGACATTCACTCACAGTCGATGGGATAAACACGGGATGGCGTCGATTCAGGGGCACAACAGGGCACAGAGATCGAGGCTATCGAAGACAGCCGACAGGAGCGCGAGATGGTGGCTCATGCCCGCCGGCCCGACAACGCTGACCCTGACCTCGATACTATGCGAGCGCATGCTGCGCCCCGGTCGACTACTACGCCCAGCACAATTTCGTCCAGTGCGGCTCCGAAGCCGGCTTCACAGCCTGACCCACCGGTACGGCTGGACCGTCCGCAAGACGATTGCGATACCGGGCATCATACTAGCGCTAACGACCGCGACCTTCGTAATGACCAGTCTTCTCTACTACGATATACCGAAGGGCTTCTTTTCGACGGAGGATAACTGCCTTATTACCTCGATGGCTATCGGACCGGACGACGCCTCTTTTAATGCCATCTTGGCCCCTCCTGATCGCGCTCTGACCGAGGTGGGTCGTAAGGACCCCAATGTTATTGCCGTGATGTCGACGGTTGGTGAAAGCGGGCCGGCTTCGACTTGGAACTCAGGCCGAGGGTTCATCGCTCGTCGTAAAGAAAGGCTGGCCCGTCGATGCTGACATGGAGACGCCCATCCACGTGGAGCCGGATCCTGGGACATATATGGTACGTGTTCTGGGCAGAATGGCGCGCCGAATGTTGTCGTCGAGAGGCTGACTGACGATTTGATAGGCCTGAAGCGGTATTGAGGCATTGAGGACCCCCGGAGCGACCCCTTTTGTGTAGGCATTAATCGCGACGACGACATGCCGGGCCCTGACGGCGCCATCGGCGGCGCTGGCCGCCCAGGAACCGGATGCCGCGCCGACACTGGCCGAAAGCGCCTGGCTGTCACCACCACGGCAAAACCGGACACTGCTTCGGCGAGCGTTTTGACGGCGCCTATGTCTATCAAATCTAATATGGAGCATGTTTGCAAAATGACTTCATATCGGCAACCACTTGCCATGGCATGGATGGCTGCAGTGCGATCTCCCTGACTGATCTCTTGGAGTGGAACCGGCCATTTCGCTTCATTCGCGAGGGTCTATAGCTAGAAGCTATTGTCTATGCAAGAGTACTGAGATCCAGCAATACCAAGCCGATTAAGATGAGAAGCTGATAGGTGACTGCGGCTGTCACTACAGCCGTCAGCGGAACCACGACGCCTCCCTCAACCCGGACCAACATGGTCAAGACTCATGATAAGTCCCACCTCGTTCGCAAAATAACTACCTACAAGGGAATCACTGACAACGACCAGATCACAAGTAACGAGTTTCTCAAGCAGAACAAACCATCGGCCCAGGCTGCGAGAGCTTATGGCTCGTGATGAATGCCTGTGATGGTGTCATCGGCATCACCAACCAAGACCATCACCAAGGCCGCGACAACAACGACCTGAGCTCTTAGCAGCAGTCTCGTAATGCCGACTCCCAGTCATTCTGGCATAGTCACGAACTTCGACAAGTCTCACTTCATCAAGACCACGATCATGTGTCCAGGAGATTTGACCCACAACAGCATCACTATAGCCGAGTTCCTCGAGTGGATTCCCGGAGCAAAGACTTGACTTCACGGGTATACAGGCCAGCAGATAAGGTCGCGTCAACGTTTTAGACATGATTAAATACCAATTCCAGCCTGACCGGCCTTCGGCATTGTCACCCTCATTCCGACGCAGGCGGGAATACTTCAAAGGTGCTTCCAGTTCCACCAGGTCAAGGCAACAATCACCTGCCAAGACATTTTGGAGTACAAATGACCACTCTGGACTGTTTCTGACTGCCCAACACTGCAGCTTGGCTTGTAAGAAACCGCTGCCAACTTCATAGGCTCCAAGTATCCAATTACTCCTGCTATCCCCTGTGCTCTTTTGACTTCCACAGACACAGTAGACAGCCGACGAGGGATCGAGTGCTTGAAGGACCTTGGAGAGCAGGTGTCCGTCGAGCAAATTTGGCAAGTTTGCCTCGCTGAACCAGAAGATTGTCGTGGCACTTGGTGTCGAGAGCTGGCTTTTGCTTCATGGCACGGAGAAGGACTGAATACTATTATTGGCATGTGGCCACCTGGCGTTATGCAGAGCACCAACCTGTAACCTTCACGTCTTGTACAACTTGACCGGGACGTTCCCTCCCCCAGGACAGATTGAATGACAGACGTCTGGTGTCTTTAGTTGTGAATAAATTGATGGTTTCACCGAAAGCAAGATTTGTTAGGCTTCCTTGATGTGGGTATGTTGTATTCTATTTGAAGATATCGAGGACAAAAGCGACACCAAAGGCGATGATGAACATGAGAACGACCATGTTTAACCAAGGAGTGAAACAGACAGAAGACTCATCAGATGGACGAGTCGAGCAATAGCTTCCTTACGTTTCACGCCTCGGCAATGGCAACGTACCCTTTCTTCATGTAGGTTCATATTATAGACAATAATTACGTTGTCTGGTACAATAGGTAAGCTTGCGCCGACGGCCCTTGATTGACAAAACGGTTGTGCGACGTATTGTACTTGTAGTTTAATGAGTAAACGCGAGGCGCGGTGCTTCTGCCTGTCCGAAAGACGGCTGCAGTCATTTCCCAGATTCTCTTGAGGGTGAATAAACTAGATATTGGATAGCAACAGGTGCTGATGTGAGATGCATTTGTGTCGCAGGTAAATGAAGTATCCAACAGCTGCAGTGAAGCACATGAACTTTTCTCCCAAAGCACATTAATGCTGCTGCAAGGCACGTAACTGCTGTTATTCACGCACTTAGTTACTGTTGTTGGAGCACGTAGATGCTTAAATCAAGTGCTTTGGCGCTTCATTGCCGCGGTTGATGTTGAGGGCCTGTTGATGACGAAGGGTCAGTTGCTGTATGTTGATTGAATTTGTGCGACGATATGTATGGGAGATTCCAACCATCTAGTGGAGGAACAAGTGAGGTCCGGTTGAGCATCGGACTGGCCCCTATGCTGCCCTTAGCTCGTAGTCGGAATAGACTTTTAATGCGAAAGTTGAGAACTGTACGACGGCATAAGGGGCATATGATCGATCGTGAGACATAAATCAGCCACCTACTTGACGCCAGTTTGGCTATTGAAATTGCCGCTTTGATTATAATCCTGATTTGGATTTCACATGGAAGCCCGAGCCGTCCGGCGCATTGTCCCGTCACTACAAGACCAGAAGCTGCGCAGCCAATGCCGGGGCAATACTTGTGAGATAGCAAACAGATGCGTCCAAAGAAGCCGATGTCGAGGTCGATCTGGTTGCTCGGAGCCTCTGCAATGGCCACAAGGCTCAGCACTGTGTCAAAAGAGCTCTTGTTTGGGATCGCACAGGTACTTTTCTTATCGGTTCCTCCTCTCTAGACCGTAGGCCATATGAAGTGCCGCTAGGATTAGAGGCAAAAGGAAAATGCATCGTATGCTGATGCCGGAGTTAGCTGGTAAATGAGCGCGAAGAATGATGATGATGATGATGATGAAGAGTAAAAGAGATATCCTTTTGCTTAGTTGCTGCCATCACAGAAGAGGGTGGAGGACTGAATGGGGCAAGAGAACTAGGAATGTGTAGAAAGAGAATAGAAAAGAGACAAAGAATGGGAATGGGTGAGAAAGAGGCTGATCTCAACTCAAGACATATTACCAACCACATGATTTGACACGTAAATTTGCTGGAGTCTGATCTATGAAGGTACTCATCAAGACTGGTCTACCTCAACTGTCTCTCAGATAGACGCCTCGAAGCTATCGGCATTGAGGCTTTTGAACAACATGATTTCCTACCTACACATGATGTTTGACTTGAGAAAGATGGGCTTCAGAGAGTCTTGAACGGCCATCACCAAGCACTGATTGAATAGATAAAACGCCCAGGCTCCGGACATGAGTTATAAGTCATCCCATACCAGATGCTGACACCAACAAGAGGCCATAACTCGTAAAGATTAAAGACATCTGTGCATCTGACTGGGGTCTCAGAGCTGAATCACTCTTGTCCATCAAAAGCGCGAGACAAATGTTTTAGAGGACACGAGCATATTCTACGACATTTCCCGAATATCATTCATTTTAGTCACCCAGTTGTAGGGGACTATTGCGGTTGTATAGCCGTCATTTCTGGGTTTAAGACTCGAGTTTTCTGCGCACTGGAGGGCAAGCAACCGGGTTTTTGAATCCCCCGCGTAGGAAAATTCAAGAAAGTGCCCGAGGGAACTTAGAATGTGAAGAGACTCTAGTGCCTCGAGCGGAAGGGCAGCTGAAATTAAGGTCATTGATGGTAGCTGAGTCAAGGATTACAGTCGGTACATCGCCAGCGTCTGACTCAAAGGGGCCGTAGTTTTGCGCTAGCCCAACAACAGCGTGCATGTGAGAAGTCTCACGATCAGGACTTCAGCGTACCGATCTCACAAGCTGAAGCCATCGTCTTCCCTGTCCAACGTAAGGTACCTTGTTGACGGAAGCGGATACACTTCACTTACTTAGTGTCAACAGTCCCACGGTCTGAGTATCGCGCATTGATTCCCGTGGAACTTTTGTATGCCAAAAAGATCGTGGATTGCTAACAGAGCCGTCCTGAGCCGCGTTTTGACACCCCAGTGGGGATTCCTTGACTTCGTTTTCATCCAGACATCTTCTACTTCACTCGCGTTCCACGGGACCTCGCTCTCCAAAAACAGGAATATTTCATATATCCAGTCCTTCACAATAGATAACGAGGAACAAAATGAGAACAAGAGTGGTTAATTGGTCATTCCTGTTAGCCACCGTCTAGGCTATCGTTTCAATCCACCAGATCCCACCTGACGTCTGCCTTCCGATCGTCCGTCGAGATAGGGAGGGTCTCACCGATATCCGCACCATGGGTCTAATTGAACGCTTAACTTTGACCCCTTTCTGGCATGGACGAAAGATGCCGGCAATATTACGACAAGTCTTCGATTGACTTGCGTTGCACATTCAACTGCAGATTGTCCGTTGGTGGGTGTATGCAACAGGTAAACCCCTCCTGTGAACTAACCAAGCCGCTACTCTAGCTCCGACAGCCTCAGCTACCACACAAAAGTGCTCAACTCACTGTCGAGACCCCCGTGCAAGATACCCCTGGCATCTAAAGCCAATCGCTCCAACTGGGAACATTGGAGCGCGTCATCTTGCACGACGAACGCGATCATCACTCCGCCTCCGCTAGCGAGGTCACTCTAGGTACTGCCGCGCCCATCGCAATGTCGACAGCGACGCCTGCATATGCCAGCATAACGTTCATGCTTCAGTACATTGCGGAGAAGCAGCACACGAATATCCTCTAACTCTTGATGGTGAACAGTTAGATAGCTGAAGGCTCAAACCTGCTCACCACTCCCGGCACTGCGCTGTGCATGCACTCTCACTTGCGATCCGTATGTTGTTGTCGAAAGGGTGATACCTTACCGTTATCGCACACGTTGTTAAGACCACTTGGGCCTAGATCATTATCTGGAACGCGGACCTGGCGGTGACCCTGCCTGAATGCTGGACGCTACGGTGGCGTCTAAGTCTGCATCTCGAACCTCAGAGAGTACCCAAGCCGGATCCGGCTTGGGCATCACGGCTTGTGCCACTGTGCCGAGCAAGACGACGACAGTGAAAACTGTAATGGGGCAGACGAAACCCTCCGGCCTTTGAACGCCTTGTTTGTATCTTCGAGGATGGGACGCAAGCGACCTTTTCGGCCACGATGTAAGTTGAATGATGTTTTTTTTCTCTTTCGTGTCTATATCAACGTGTTCACATTTTCAATGATAGCAATCCCAATGGATAAAGAACATAAGACCGTCATCATCCCCGACTTATGGACCTGGAATGGCGAGGAGGAGCTGGGAAACTTCTTCTTCAGCATAGGAACTTCATGAAGAGCATGAAAGTGGAAGACTTTATGTAGGCACGAAGAGATGTTAGCCAAATACCAACATTTAGTTTTGCGAGAAATCTCCATTATAAATTGTGTAATGCCCGAATTTAATGAATTCAGCGATGACATAGCGGACAGCAAGTTCAGAAAAACTCACATCATTCAAGGGCATCAGGAAAATCACACATCAAGACAGGAACGAACATCCCGAGACTAGTACTCACTCATATTCCTAGAAAGTACGCATGGATATCCCGAGGGCTCATTCGTCTATCAAATATCATCGGCTGCATCAGCTAGCATGAACCACGTACAGAGCAATGAGCACAGCATGAGTGGTGAGGGACTCATGTTCATCTATGGGTCCTCAATATTCACGTCCACATTTACATCCACACCAATACCCACTCCTAGTCTGGGCCCACCAAGTCTAAGGCCCTGCAATCAGTTGTCTAACCAGCCGTTAAATCCGATATGGTGTAGTGGCCAACATGATGCCCTCTCATTTTCTCGAGAGGTTAGGCATAGC